CAACTCTCGGGAACAATATTTGCAACTGGGAGTCGCCTACAGACGTCAAAGAGTTGCAGCATTTTATGGGGTTCATTAACAACGTACCCTGCTTTATAAAAAAAATGGCGGAGTCAACAGCCCCGTCAACCAACCTGCTGTGGAAGGGAGTTTATGAATTAGGGGAGAGGCAGCAACCTGCGTTTGACCAACTGAAAATTTTCCTAATGACACCACCCGTTCTTCGTATCGCCGACCCCAACCGCCCCTACGAAATGGTTACGGACGCCAGCAACATCGCAGTTGGCGCAGTACCGTTTCAGGATTTTGGTGAAGGCCTGCAGCCAATCGCCTACGTCTCGCAAAAACTCCAAGGCCCTGAATGGAATCACACGGTTCACGACAAGGAAATGCTCGCGATCGTCAACTTTTTCAAGACCTGGAGCTGCTACCTACCCCATGCCGACATCACTGTCCAAACAGACCACAAGTCCTTACAGTTCCTCCGAGCCCAACCAGCCCTCAACCCACGACAGATTCGTTGGCTCGAATACGTCTAGTCCAGTTTCCACAACCGCATCACCTACAAAAAGGTGGCAAATAATATTGCCGATGCCCTTTCCCGCCCTACTGCCCGTACATCCGCCGTACTAATCCCCCAAACTAATCCACTGCTTACTAAAATGTTTACCCATGGCCACAAAACTGATCCCCTATTCACCTCTTACGGCCACTAGGCCCTGACCACTCAACGAGGCCACTACCACATAAAAGCTGGTTCTGGCCGAATTTGGGTTCTATCCTACCGACTGTTACAGGAATTACTGATATAGAAGGTTCATGACGCTAATTGCTCCGGACATTTCGGGGTTGATAAAACCTTGAAAATGCTCCAACGTCAACGCCGAGTGCGAGCCATGACGTGGAGCAATACGTAGCCTCATGTCCCACCTGCCAACTGATGAAATCCTCTCCCCAAAAGTCTACTGGATTACTGCGACCGTGAGAAATGCCCAAAAGTATACTAGATTACTGCAACCGTTAGAACTGCCCGCAACTCCATGGACACACCTGTCCATGGACTTTGTAACAGGACTGCCGAACCGCGCATCCCAAAATGATACTGTACTCCTGGTCGTTGCTCGACTCACTAAAATGGCTCATTTCGTGCCCTGCCGAACAACGATTACAACCGAGAAAACTGCCAAGCATCTCAACCGTCTTTCGCCTGCACGGAATTCTGAAGGCGATCGTGAGCAACCGTGATCCCCGATTCAAGTCCAACTTCTGGACAAAAATGTGGGAACAATACGGTACACGTCTCCATCTGTCCACGGCTTACCACCCACAGACCGACGGTCAGACTGAACGGACAAATCAGACAATGGAGAAGTTGATACGGACAACCTGTACCGACCCGACCCAATGGGACAATTTACTCTCCCCTTGATCGAGTTCGCGTTTAATAACGCCCCTTCGTCTACGACTGCCCAATCACCGTTCTACCTGAATTACGGTCTAAACCCCACGACTTCTACTACACCGTTAGTTGAGGGCCCCACCCCATTGTCGCAGCAGTTCGTCAAGGACTTACAGACTGCACAGAAAAATGCTATCGAGGCTATTTTAAAAGCCAATCTTACAGCCAAACGGTACGCGGACAGGCATCGACGGGATTTTCCCCTGTCTCTTGGGCAACTTGTCCTTCTGGATACCAAGAATTTAGGGTTGAGATTACCACATAAACTTTGTCCAAGATTCTGTGGGCCCTTCCGGATTGTTCGAATGGTGACACGTGTCACCGCCAAGGTATTGTTACCGGACGACTGGCGCATCCATGATTCATTCCACACCACCCTCCTCCGACAGTTCGTCGCAAACACGGCTGATCTCGACCGTCAACGACTCTACCATTTGATCAGACTCGTCCCTGAGTTAACCACCGAACCACAACAGATCCTATCCCATCGAATCCGCCGAGACCAAGGTCAACAGGTTTTGGAGTTCCTGGTTCGATGTGTTGACCGTACGTGCGAGGACATGTGGGTCCCAGCCGTTACCCTCAGCAACCACCCATTGGTGCAGGCCTATTTATATGACCAGGCTGCCCCAAATATGGGTTCCCTCGTCTAGGAGGGGGAAGGTGTAAGGAAAATCCCTTATCCTTATCGAGCCTCGCTAACATCGGGTACAGTCCCGACTTTCGTAAGTTCAGTCACGGCTCAACAATTCAGGTTCGAACTACGTTCGAGACCCCAAGCCTACACGCGGCGTCGCGTCCGACACTTTCGAGTCCAGAAGCACCCCAAGCCACCTCGCGTGTGTTTCGTGGCCCTCCTCGAGGCACTCTTGCTAGGCTAGCTGTGCTTGTATTTATCCATGTGCTTCATTTGTACTCGACACTTTTAATCACGACCTCACTATTGCATTACTCGACTCCTATCATCATAACGACGTCGTTCAATTGGTGATTTGAAGGTCGCTAATTACTTTTGGTAGGACAATTTAAAGCCCGAGTTTAGAATGGTTGAAAACCATGACTACTGACCATGAAAACAGTGCCAAAAAAACTGGGCGAAAGTAATTTCGGCAAAGTTCCCCTGAACAAATTCTGGCGAAAACGCGGAACAGTAATCGCATCATGGAATTTCTTCGGCAACAAGTGAGTTCCACAGTGCGTGAACAGTGCGAGGGGTGGGGGGAACCAGCAGTGACGCGAGACCCCAAGAAAAATGCGTTCAGAATGGTCGTGGGCAAAACTCAAGAATACTGAGATGAACAGTGAGTAGGGGTTTGTCGTATTCAGCGGCAGTCGCAAACTGCCCCGTTCCCTGAGAGTTGCGACGTTTCCTTGGCATGTACCACGTTACCCTTTCCTTGACGAAAACAAGTTCAGGATTCCTGAACTTGATAGCAGACCATTCTAGACTCGGGCTTTAATTGACTCACCGGTTCCTGCACCTGACGAGGAAGCGAAGCTGACTAGTCGCGGGTACATTGTCCACCTCACTTCGAACCTGCCACGCTTGCAGCCGAGGATGTGCGTGGGACACAGCCGACACGGAGGACACGGATGACTTTGAATTTGAAGTCTTGCCGGTCAACACGGCCAATCCTCTTAGACCTCCCTGCTCTGCTGGATGCATTTTCCGAGCCGCGGGGGTCTGCGAACAAATCAACCAGAGCTTTGGAATTCGACGTCGTCGCAAGGAATCTGTCTTCCGTAGGCCAGTTCGTGATTGTCGCATGGAAGGAATTCGCCCTGCTGTCAGCAAAGCACAGCACAGAAGGAAAATGTTCTCCTTTCCTCACTCGCTCCTTCGGCCCCCTGCCCCCCAGCCTATGCCCCTCTCCCCTCCTCCTTCCTGTCCCTCGTTTCCCTTCCCACCTGCGCCAATCCCCTTCAAGAATACCCTGACAATAACATCCCCCCCCCCCCCCCCCCTCCCCCCCCTTCAAACCTGATTCATCCTGACCCTGAATGCGGTACAAAAACTACCCAAATAAAACTCCAATCCATCCTGAATTCTCACCAAAGTAGGCTCTGATTTCTTACTGCTGACTTCCGCCACTCTAGGCCATTCGAGATCAGGACACGTTTCATAGGGGCGATTGCGTAGCTCGTGAAGTAGCCATACGACTCGATAGAGAGAAATACAACCAGCGATCAAAACTACCGCTCCAACAACTGGCTGAGCACAGCTCATACCACTGCCACTGCATCACTGATCCCCATGAAAACATCCGCGGTACATTTCCTTCTCCTCCTCGTGGTTTCAACCTGGACCGTCGCGCCCACCCACGCTGCGCGCCTGTTAAAGCCTGCCACGTCGGATTCGCTGGCTCGCACGCGACGAGTTCTGTCGAGCGACTACTTTTACGAGGAAGATGCTAAAAGCGGGGCCGACGGCGAATCGAGTGGCGACTACTCGGGATGGGAACCTCCCCACGCTGAATGGGGCCACGTCGGCTCGACTGACACGGGCGGAAGCATCGACGAATCCGGGTCGTCGGGCGAATCGAGCGACTCGAGCGACTCGGGTGCGGGGTTCGGCGAGGAGGTAGATTATTTTTCAGACGACCAATATCACCATGGCGGCGCGACCCACGGGCCGGCCGGCGACAGCGGGTGGAGCGACCAGGGGAGCGGCTGGACGAATGAGGGCGGGTGGAGCGACGAGGGCAGCAGCGATTGGACGGGCGAAGGCAGTGGAGGAGGTGGCGACGAGTCGAGCGACGGGTCGAGCGACTGGTCGAGCGACTGGACGGGCGACGACGGGTCAAGCGATGGAGGTGGATGGGACATTCCGTCTGGCTCCGTGGGCTCGACTGATACCAGCGGCAGCACGGACGGGGGGAGTGAGGGCGACTCGAGTGAATGCGGCAGCGATTGCTACTCGAACGACTCAAGCGACTCGGGTGATTGGAACGACCCGTACGCGGGGCTGACGTCAGACGAATCGCCGCAGTATCGTAGTGTGACAACAAAGAGCTCCGACGAAGGCAGCAGCAGCAGCGCCAGTGCCAGCAGCAGCAGCAGCAGCAGCAGCAGCAGCAGCAGCAGCAGCAGCAGTGTCACGTCAAGAGGAGCGGGTGATTCTATGACAGTTTCCGGCCCTCCCCCAGACGAGGAACCCGTTGTTCCTCTTTACCCAGACCAGGGGGGCTCCGCCTCCCCTCCCCCATCTGGTGGCTCCCTTGGATCTCCCCTCCCCACGCCCCCCGCTGGTCCATCCAACGGCCCCACTCCTCCTGGTGCATCCAACGGCTCTCCTCCTCCTCCTCCTGTGGCGAAGTCCCCGGTTCCAACACCACCAGATGAACCCGGCAGTCCCCCTCTTCCACCCACAGACACCACTACTTCCCCTCCCCCCTCTGATGGGTCAACCACCCCTGCTCCTCCCGCTGATGGAATTGTCGTTCCTGCTCCATCCGACGGCTCTACCACCCCTCCCCCTCCTGTTCAAGGCTCTCCCACCCCTGTTCCTCCCACTGATGGGTCTACTGTCCCTGTTCCCCCCGCTGATGGATCTACCGCCCCTGTTCCCCCCTCTGATGGGTCTACAGCCCCTGTTCCCCCCACTGATGGCTCGACCACCTCTCCCCCTCCCACTACTTGCATCATGGACCAAGGTGCCGTGCAGGCAGGCCTCTCATGGGTTTGTGGCGCTGGTGGCGCTGACTGCTCTGCCATCCAGCCCGGGGGTGCGTGTTACGAACCGAATACACTGACTGCGCATGCCTCGTATGCCTTCAATAACTATTATCAGAAGCTGGCACACGTGCCTGGGAGTTGCTTCTTTGGGGGGACGGCTGCAGTGGTGCCGGCTCTGCCTGCGTATGCACCTGAGAGTGGTGCCTGCAAGTATCCTGCAGGGAATAATCAGTATTGTGTGGTAGGCTGCAAGTGATAAAATAATAACACCAACATCGTACGTGAGGGTGCTAGGAGTGGAATAAGGGTTCAAAATTACAACTAGGAGCTTGACCACTAGGGTTTTGTGGCTGTTGTGTGTTATGGCATTTGTATTCAAAGGTATGACTTCAGAATGACTGCCATAAACGGCCAGAATTCGGGTACCTGAGATATGATTTAGCAAGACACATGAGCCAGAAAGAGTCACGGTGTGAAGGCACTAAACATGCTTAGAAATCCGTTGAAACTTGCTTTTTAGGTTAGCACAAGTTGTCAACATATATTTGTATATGTTATAGGCTAGATAGGTGCATGCTCATAGGGGGTACACCACCATAACACAAAACCTCCCAATAGGGAAAGTACATCCGCGCTCTGTATTAGGGTCCCGCTTATTAAGTACGGTCAGTGGAACGCTATAAACCATCATAATTAGTGAGTTCGTCACACGGCTAGTCAGTCGGGTTCCACGGTTAGTCAGTGACTGCTGGTAAACATTTCTACGAATGGTCAGTAGACGTAACTGTCAACCTATACATACATTTGCATGTAGAAGCTATAGGCTAGAATAGGTGTGTGCTCCTAGTGAGTACAACCCAACGCCTATATCTCCCTTGTTCTACCTCTTTGTTAGTCATTCTATTATCTCGACATGGTATTGAACGTAGGTAGGTCCGCCCACCCGCTTCCGCCAATCGCGCCTAACCGGCCCCTCCTCTCACACCTAGCCGGACCCTTCGCGCCCAGGTGGCCCCTTGCGCCCCGTCGGCCCCTCCTCTCGCGCCTAGTCAGCCCATGCGCCCCGTCGGCCCCTCTCGTCTAGCCGGCCCCTCCGATCGCATCTACTCGGCCCCTCCTGTCGCACCTAGCCGGTCCCGCCTTTTGCGCCTAGTCGGCCCCCTGCCGCCCGTCGGCCCCTAGCGTCTAGTGGGCCCCTCCTCTCTCACCTAACCGGCCCCTCGCACTCAAGTAGCCCCTCGCGCCTGGTCGGCCCCTTGCCGCCCGGCGGCCCCTCGTGCATAGTCGGCCCCTCCTCCCGCACCTAGCTGGCCCCTCGCGCCCACGTGGCCCCTTACGCCTAGTCGGCCCCTTCTCTCACGCCTAGCCGGCCCCTCGCGCCCAGGTGGCCCCATGCACCTAGTCGGCCCCTTGCGCCCTGCCAGCCCCTCACGCCTAGCCGGCCCCTCCCCTCGAGCCCAGGTGGCCCCTCGTGCCTAGCCTGCCCCTTACGCCTCGGTGGCCCCTCGTGCCTAGTTGGCCCCTTGCGCCCTGTTGGCCCCTCTCGTGCTCGTCTGCACCTCGCGCTCCGCACGTCCCCTCCTGTATCCGCCATCCCGCCGCGCCTCGCCAACCTGCTGCACTCCTCATGCCCTGAGTTCTCTACTTAACCTTTTCCGCCCGGCCTTCCCGCAGGAGCCTCCCGTGCCGCCGTGTCGCTATGCTGCTGTATCACTGAGTAGTTGTGCCACTGTGGAGATGTGACACTGAGCCTGCATGATGGCGGAGTCTGTACTCCGCCTGGACGCTAAGGGCCACGCGATCGACTTCGCCGCCCGGCTTGTCGACCTTCGCCGTCACCTCACAGGTCAGCGCTAGGATGGGCACTTGCTGGCTATGCATGCTGATGGCTTGCTGCCCCGTCCCCCCCCACCTGATCCCTTCCCTGCTGACCCCACCTCTGCTGAGCGTGAGGCCTACTCTGCTGCTGCAAAGCTTGCGCCGTCAGGGATTCCCACAATGTCGTAGCGCATCCCGCCATTAGTCATGCTCTTCCCCTGTCTGAGCGTCCGCGCTTCACTACTGTCGCGAACGCCAAGGATTTCATAGACGCCGTAGTTGCTGGCTACTCCACGCTCGCCTCAGCCTCTACAGGCCGCCTGATCCTCTCCATGCTGTTTCCGGATCTAGCTGCCTTTCCCCCCGTCGTAGACCTGGTCGCTTACCTCCGTACACTAGAAACTCGCTATCGCACTGCTAGCACTTCCGCCCAGCTCATTGCTCTTCCCCCACCGTTTTGTATCACCCTGTACCTTATCGCCATGCGCCTGCCTGACCGCTTAGCAAGTGCGCGCGACCACTTCCTTAGCCAGCACCTTGGCGATCTCACCCTGATAGCCTTTGTCCAAGATCGAGACTCACAAGCGCACTATCGCTCAGTCGAGCGGTGTTGCAGCAGCCTCTATCTTTCAGGGCTGTGCCCCCTCCCTGAACACGTTTGCTGAAGTTTCTGCCGAGATCGCCACAGCGACCCCTACTGCCGACACCGCTGCTGCGGTCCTCCCGCAGCAGCGTCCGCGCCGGGACCGTCGCGGCCCCAAAGGAGGGTGTGATGGTGGCGCTGGTAGTGGTGGTGGTGGTGACAGTGGTTCTGCTGAAGGGGTTGTAGCAGGTGTTCAGGAGCAGCAGCAGCCGCCGCAGCAGCAGGAGCAGCAGCAGCCCCAGCAGCAGCAGCACCAGCAGCCCCAGTCGTGAGCCCGCCTCCTGCCCGGGTGGCCAGGCACCTCCGGAGGTGGTGGTCGCGATGGCGGCCCTCGCAACGCGGCGTCTACCGGCAGCTTTGGTACTGAGAGCTGCGAGTACCAGCTCCAGACCGGGCCCCTCCATGGCATTGTGTGGCTCCGTCCGCACCAGAACGCCCGCCGCTTTCGCCCGCCTCGACGACCTTTTTCGTCGCCGCTTCGGCCCTGCCCCGGACCTCCCTGGCTAGTCCAGTCTGCTGCGCCACGGTGTGCCTATCTTTGAGTTAAATATGGATCACATTAGTTATGCCTTACATGCTTTGTATGCTGATGCTTCTAGTGTGTTCGGATCTTATTATCCTGTGTTCTCTAGCTTAGGTGTGGCACCTTTGTGTAGTATAGAATCCCCTTCTACGTCTGGTGTAGGATTGTCTGGTTTGTCTAGCCTAGGCTATGCACCTACTCCTCCTTCGTCCTCTGCTACTGCTTCGCCGTCCTTCACACTCGACCCCTGTGCGTCTGCCTACTTCTTCCACGACTGCTCCACGCTTACGCCGCTTGCTGCCCCTGCTGCTATCGCTCTTGGAGACCCCTCTGCTAGTCCTGTCCTCGCTCGCAGCTACACCTCCCTTCCCTGTCCAGCGGTCCCCTCGGGTTCTCTTACAGGCCTCCACGTCCCGTCGTTCTCCAAAAATGTAGTCGGTGTTGGCTGTCTTTAGGACCTCGACATCACCACTATGTTCCCTGGTCACGAGCGGTACATTGACTGTACCGAGGTCGCCTCAGGCTCCCCCCTTGCGACGTTCCCCAGGGACCTGGTGTCTAGCCTGTTTACCCTGGACACTGCTTCCCCCCCGGTTGGTGTGTCCTCCCAGGTCGCTGCGGCTTGCTCGTGTCGGTCGCTCACTCACCCGTCACTTCTGTGGCACCACCGCCTAGGTCACTCTGCGCTCCCGCGTCAAAGTCACATGTCCCTGCACGGTCTTGTCTTGCTCCGTCTGGTGTGTTTCACGTCACTCCCCTCCCGTCGACTGTCCCCGTTGAGGAGTCTGCTGACTCTAGAGGCCCAGCTGTGCAGTCTTCGCCGCATGCCTCTCCCTCAGTGTCTCCTCCTCCGCTATCGCAGTCGCCGCCACCGCAGCTGTCCTCGTAGCCACCGCAGCTGCAGCTGCCGCTCGTGGACTCTGGCATTGCTGGCGTTGAGGAAGGTGCTAGTCCTGGGGTTCCTGTCATGGCTTGTCCCGCCGGGCCTGGGGGTGGCACCGGTGTTGGAGAGAGTTCTGCCTCTTGGGGTGCTCGTTCAGGGGGTGCTGACATGGAGTGTTTTGGTGGTAGCCGTGGTGCCGCTGGCGGTCCAGGTGTCGGCGTCGAGCAGCAGCAGTAGCAGTCGCCGCCGGTGTCTGCCCTTTGCCTGCTCGGCCTTCCCTCCCCTGACCACTCACTTGCGCCTCCCCCGCCCCTCCTCCTCTTCTTGTCTACGACCCTGTGTTCCCTCCACCGGACTCCTCCTCCGCTTGTCTGCCCCCCCGTTCCCCTCTTAAGTCTCTCCCTCTGTCTCCTGACCGGACAACTCCCTCTCACGTCTGGTCTCATCATCCCTCTCATGCTCGTCCTGTATCTCCTGTCTCGCGCTCTCACACTATGTTGCTCCGTTCCCACGCGTCTCATCCTCCCCTCCTCCCATCACCTCCTCCATCATCGCTTGTTGTTGCACCTCCCTCACTGTCCGCCTACCTTCATGCCACTCGTCCCCTTGTTCCTCGGGTCCTTGCCTCTCTCGTTACCGACCCGTCTCTTCCTGTCTCGAGTCTTGACGCTTTTGTCGCTGCTATCGCTGACTTCGCCTCTACCCACTGCCTTGACTACGCCACCGCTCTAGTCTCTGACCCTGTCCGTCCTCCGTCCGTCGGGGGTGCTCCTGCCCTTGGCAGTGACGTCCTAGAGGACAGGCAGTACAAGCTTGCTTTCCTGTCTGAGGCCGCTCCCCATCTCCGTTCCATGCTCCTAGTCGCTGAGGGTGACCCAGACGCCTTTGACATCCCCAACCCTCGCATTTACGCTAAGGTGACCTCGGGACCCTGAGCCTCTCAGTGGATAGCTTCCATGGAGCAGGAGATGGCATCTTGGAGATCCACCAGCACTTACGTCGACACAGTTCCCCCGCCTGGGGTGAACGTAGTCGATGGTCGGTGGCTCTTCAAGGTGAAGCGCCCCCCTGGAGAGCCGCCTGTCTTCAAGGCGTGCTACGTGGCTAGAGGCTTCACTCAGTGCGAGGGGGTGGACTTCTTCAAAACCTTCGCCCCAACCCTGAAGATGACTACTCTTCGGGCGTCGCTATACGTAGCAGCACAACGTGACTATGAGCTCCACTCCCTTGACTTCTCTACTGCGTTTCTTCAGGGCAGCCTACACAAACAGGTCTACCTGCGCCGTCCACAGGACTTCACTGGTACCTTCCCTCTTGAGACCCACTGGCTTCTTCGGCGGTCGGTCTACGGCTTGCGCCAGGCTCCCCGCGAGTGGCACGATACACTGCGTGCCACGCTAGCTGACCCGCAGTTC